TGTTATTTTTTTCTGTGTCATGTAGGCCTATGATCAATTTAATTAATTTACAAGGCATATAGGCCTAAGGCTTATTTAAAAAGGATCAATTTGTAGTTTCAAATAACGAATTTACACGCTTTGGAAAAATCTCCCGACTTTTCAGCCAATCTCCTGATTTTTCAAGGCAAATCTCCAGATTTTTTTTCTTGACCTGTACACATGTATGGGTCAATAACTCCTATGAAACATATTTCGATTTTTTTGATTTTGGATAGGGTTCATCCATGGGTTATAAAAAAAAATTCACTAAGTCTCATCAAAATTTGTCAAGAATTGAGCCTTCTAGAATGTTTGCGAGTTTAAAATTGAACATGTTCTCAAGAACAAGGGCAATAACTCATATTTAATATTTTTCGATTTTTCTGATTTTTGTTAGGGTTCATCCTAGGGTGATAACGAACAATCACACAAAGTTTTGTCAGAATTCGATAAGAATTGTGCCTTCTAGATTGATACAAGCTAAAAATTGAACACGTTTTCAAGAACAAGGGCAATAACTAATACTAAATATTTTTTGAATTTTCTGATTTTTGATAGGGTTCACACTTGGGTGATAACGAACACTCACACCAAGTTTCGTCAAAATTTGTCAGGAATTGTGCCTTCTAGAGTGTTTACAAGCTAAAAATTGATTGCGTTTTCAATAACAAGGGCAATAACTCATACTAAATATTTTTTTTGATTTTTCTGATTTTCTATAGCCTTTATCCTTGGGTGATAACAAACACTCATGCCAAGTTTCATCAAAATCTGTCAAGAATTGTGCCTTCTAGAGCGTTTACAAGCTAACAATTAAACAAGTTTTCAAGAACAAGGGCAATAATTCATACTAAATATTTTTCAATTCTTCTGATTTTCAATAGGGTTGATCCTTGGGTGATTATGAACACTCACACATAGTTCGGCAAGATCCGTCAAGAATTGTCCCTTCTAGAGTGTTTACGAGCTAAAAATTGAACGATAACAAGGGCAATAACTCTTACTAAATATTTTTCAAATCTTCTGACTTTCCATAGGGTTCGTCCTTGGGTGATTACGAACACTCACACCAAGTGTTGTCAAAATCCATCAAGAATTATGTTTTGTAGAGTGTTTACAAGCAATTGTGAACAGATTGACGGACATGGGTGACGGCAATATACGTCCCCCATTTCATGTGGGTGTATAAAAACTTACCAACTATAAATGGACACGGAGCATTCAAAACATCTGATAATCCCAATGGACATAAAGGAATATATGGACATTGCCAATGGAATGGAAACATCATCTATACAAAACAAAACAAGAAATATATTAATTACACAAACAAAAGTAAACTTTTTTTATAAGATAACCTGGGTTTTGTGATGGATACATAGAGTTTCTCATATGGCTATGGGTGGATATGGTTTTTAAGCCATGAGTGCTTTTGTTGGCATAGCCACTAATGAAAAGGCAAGGTAATATACGCCCACTGGTAGCTTCGATTTTGAATAAAAATATTTAGCAGTACAAGTAACATCACCAATATATAATATTCAACCTTCAGTCATACACTTCTTTTGAACTCTTTAGGGTGATACTGAATAATATTCAGTATGAGTTATTGCCCTAGTTTTTGAAAATGTGTTCAATCTTTAGCTCGTGAAAACTCTAGAAGACAAATATTCAATCTTCAGCGCGGTACTGAATAATAAAACCAAGTTTTGTCAAAATCCGGCAAGAATCATGCCTTCTAGATTTTTACGAGCTACAAATTGAACGAGTTTTCAAGAACACGGGCAATACTCATATAAAATATTTTCGGAATTTTCGGATTTTCAATAGGGTTCATCCTTGGGTGATTACAAACAACCATACCAAGTTTCGTCGAAACCAGTCAAGAATTGTGCCTTCTTGTGGGCGTATAAAAATCAATATCAATAACATCAAATACATCAAATAACTCATCAATATACAGTGGAGCCTCGTTTATCCGCACATTCCCGTTCCCGATAACATCGTGCGGTTTAACGAAAATCCGGATAGGTGAAACATGCCATTTCACAACTAGAGTTATATCCCTTCCTATAAGGACACCTTTCAAATGTCACGTACGCAACATGTGATAGACATAGGGCCAATACGTCGTGAAGAACCCCGAATGTTTATAATTTTTCATTTTATTTCCCTATCATAGCATGAAAATAACAATATCATTCCTTAAAATTAGGATTCGCTAATTTATAAACATAAATTACCGTGCCGTATCATCGTAGCGATAATGTTTGATGTGTTCCGTAGCCATGGTGGAATTCGGGTATGACTGAACGAAAAATTGAATTCAAGTATTACTGAACGGACGATCATTTAAGATGACATTGAAGTATAACTGAACGATAAATGGTATTCAGGTATGATTGAAGGAAAGATAGCTTACACGTGATGATAAAATTAATTGCTTAATCTCATAATGAAGATTTATTAAACACCAATCACGCGAATCTGGGAGCCAGTTAGAAGAACTCACAGTAAAACGAGACCGGATGATAATAACTATTAACTACAGAATTTAAAATCATTAAAATCAATTGAAAACTAGTCTCTAATGTGTTTTGACGCGTTTTTTCTAAGTCACAGGCAATAACTCAAAACTCAAAACTGTAGCTTCAATCCTGCTCACAAACTATTTTTAACAAAAAATTTGATTCTTGTTAACATGACCTCAGAAGATTTATGACATCAAAATCTTAGATAATCAAAATCTTCTGAGGTCATGTTTTCAAGAATCAAATACGCCTTTCTGGTGCGTCGGCCATTTTAATTCGAAAACGAGGCTCGGTATACAAGAATTGTAGCAGACGACGTCATACTCTTAGGCTAACCACACTAACCACCGCTGAAAGCTAAGTTTTTGGATATTCCTAGTAAATAATGGCTCGTCTAGGACCATCAACTCCTCAGTGGACATCAAGTTTAAAGTCCTTACCGTCTTTAAAAGAAGTCGACATAGAAAATTGGGCAAAACAAGGTCGGATACCAAAAGCAGTTCACACGAAGGGCTATGGAAGTTTTGTTGAATCATATGTGCACGTTGTAGAAGGTGAGTTAAATTCAAAGATTGTTATCCCATAAAAAAGGTCCGTAATTATATGCGGCAGTGCAAATCTTTTTGATGATAAAATTAATTGCTTAATCTCATAATGAAGATTTATTAAACACCAATCACGCGAATCTGGGAGCCAGTTAGAAGAACTCTCAGTAAAACGAGACCGGATGATAATAACTATTAACTACAGAATTTAAAATCATTAAAATCAATTGAAAACTAGTCTCTAATGTGTTTTGACGCGTTTTTTCTAAGTCACAGGCAATAACTCAAAGGCCATTCATCGCAAATATCATCAAATTCGAAATTGGCCAAGATCTCATCAATATAAATGATCACACCAAATTTCATTAAAATCAGTTGAAACTGTAGTCTTTATTGCATTCACAAACAAATTTTGACACATGTTTCTTAAGTCAAGGGCAATAACTCAAAAACCGTTCGTCGAAAAATCATCAAATTTGAACTTTCATGAATATAAATGATCACACCAAATTTCATTATTATCAGTTGAAAACTGTAGTCTCTAAAGTGTTCACAAACAAATTTTGACACGTTTTTCCTCACTCAAGGGCTATAACTCAAAGATAGCTTGTGAGGCAAGGTAACATACGCCCACTGGCAGCTGGCAGAAATGATAAAACAGTCTTTAGTGACTAAAGTATGAATTTTCTCATATTGAAGAAATTTTATTAGTTTGAATTCAATTACATATTTATATGCCAGTTATTCATGCTGAGTAATTCCACAAAATTTGTTAAAATCAATATCAATAACCCAAATACAACAAACAATTAAATCACACAGCTCTAATCAAGGGCAAAAAACAACTTTAGACGCGTGTTTACAAAGTCAAGGGCAATGACTCAAAATAAGTTCATAATAAATATCTCAAGTTAGAACTTGTCCGAGATCTTATCAATTCCAATGATCACACCAAGTTTCATCAAAATCGGTTGAAAACTGTAGCTTCTATTTTGCTCACAAACAAATTTTGACACGTTTTAAAAAGTCAAGGGCAATAACTGCGAAAGCGTTCATTAAAAATGCCTTAAGTTAGAACTTGTCCGAGATCTTATCAATTCCAATGATCATAAAAAGTTTGATCAAATTTGGTTGAAAACTGTTGCTTCTATAGTGCTCAAAAACACATTTTGAAGCGTTTTTATACAGTCAAGGGCAGTAACTCAAAAACCGTTCAGCGAAAATGCGTCAAGTTAAAACCCGTCCGAGATCTTATCAATTTCAATGATCACACCAAGTTTCATTAGAATCGGTTGAAAACTGTAGCTTCTATTGTGCTCACGAACAAACTTTGACACGTTTTAACAAAGTCAAGGGCAATAACTAAAAAACCATTCATCAAAAATGCTTCACGTTAGAACTTGTCCGAGATCTTATCAATTCCAATGATTATGTCAAGTTTCATCAGAATCAGATGAAAACTATAGCTTCAATCCTGCTCACGAACTATTTTCAACAAATTTCGAAGCGTTTTAACAAAGTCAAGGGCAATAACTCAAAAACCGTTCATGAAAATGCGTCAAGTTAGATCTTGTCCGAGATCTTATCAATTCCAATGATCACACCAAGTTTTATCAGAATCGGTTGAAAACTGTAGCTTCAATCCTGCTCACAAACTATTTTTAACAAAAAATTTGATTCTTGTTAACATGACCTCAGAAGATTTATGACATCAAAATCTTAGATAATCAAAATCTTCTGAGGTCATGTTTTCAAGAATCAAATACGCCTTTCTGGTGCGTCGGCCATTTTAATTCGAAAACGAGGCTCGGTATACAAGAATTGTAGCAGACGACGTCATACTCTTAGGCTAACCACACTAACCACCGCTGAAAGCTAAGTTTTTGGATATTCCTAGTAAATAATGGCTCGTCTAGGACCATCAACTCCTCAGTGGACATCAAGTTTAAAGTCCTTACCGTCTTTAAAAGAAGTCGACATAGAAAATTGGGCAAAACAAGGTCGGATACCAAAAGCAGTTCACACGAAGGGCTATGGAAGTTTTGTCGAATCATATGTGCACGTTGTAGAAGGTGAGTTAAATTCAAAGATTGTTATCCCATAAAAAAGGTCCGTAATTATATGCGGCAGTGCAAATCTTTTTGAACTGTTCATAGCTTTGGTTTTTTTTTTTATCTATCGTGGAATTTCCCTAACTCTATTTTTAGTACTTGTTGACATTCGGCCAACACTTGGCCTACTCTCCAAGTCAAAACATTTCTGGGACAAAAAACTTATGAATGCAAATTCGGACTAAAATGTTTATGAATTGTATTTGAGAGAACTATACTAAATAAAGTTTAAAAATGTATTCAGACTGTCCCTTGTAGAAAAGCAAATGAAGTAGAAGTCATGGCTTTTGACGTTTCTGCCATCTTGATTTTTGTTGTTATTTTTTTTTTCATCGATTGTGCACGTCAAATAAAACTTACTATAGCCTAGTTATGTTTCTTAATCTTTCTAGTTCGTACGTTGATAGATGGATGTTGTGTGAGAGCAAGATGTTTCAAGTTAATGAAGAAGCATGATCAACCACATTCTGTGGGCCTAAAATTATCAACAAGCCATCATGAAGAAAGTGAAAGTACAGGGAGTCAAAAGTCAAGTAGTAGGCCTAATGATGTTGATATTAGAGAGTGTTTGTGTTCCTGTAAAGCTGGAAAGGGCGATCGTAACCATATTTTAGGTAGGTTGGATAATTTTGAGCTTTCTTGCTTTGCCTTGTCACTGGAATTTTGTCTATATTGAGAGAGATGTTACTTAAAACTTTTTTAAGATTTTTCACTGTTGTCACAGAGAAACAATGTTTCATGTTTTATGTCAAAATACAAATATATTATAAATAATATAATTTTATATTGGATTAAATTAAATGTTTTTGAATGTGTATTTACAGGTTTGATGTATCTTATACACCATTACAGTAAATATGGTTTCAAAACTGTACCAACTGTAACAACAAAAACATCACAGAAACAAACGTGGCATATCCCAGAATAGATGGAATAACACCAAAAAAGGCACAAGACATTGGTATAAGAAAGATTTCTTCATCAATATCTCTAGATGACACATCAAACAAGGCAACCTCTACTAAACGTCCTCAAATCGAGGGAATTCATTCCACATTTTACAATCCAGTTTCAGTTCCTTTACCATGTACAGAATTTCTAAGTTCATTATCTAATTGTTTAAATGCAACTAACTCTGATGCTCAGTTAAGATTATGTCTTTCAAACACTAATTTAAATACCTTGCAAATGGTTGATAGTAAATTAGGCTTTGTTCCTAAGGGGTGTGTTTTGTCCTTTCAACAACCATTAGTGTTAACATAATATATTGACTAGCTCCGTGTTGTTACCGGAAGTTGTCAAGGAACAAAAGGAAAACTTCCACTCTGGCCCGGCAGTCGATGAACATGTAGTAGTCGTGTAAACATGGTCTGACGGCCATCTTGTTATCATCTTTTCATTCATCTGTATGTTTATGTTTGTGATGTCCCCCCAGGTTTCTATGTATTGTCTATCATCGTGTGTGTCTTCATCATAATAAACATCATCAACCATACATGACTTTTCAATTAGATGATATTGTAGATGCAACTAATATTGTTAAAAATCATCCAGCTGTAACAGATTTTCCTTCATTTCCATGTCCACATTTAAGTTTAAATTTTCCATTTGTCTTAACGCATAGCCAACAAGATGTTTTTGATGGTCTGCAAGTAAATCTCTCAGAATCAAAAGATATTGAGGTAAAAACTAGACATCAAGCTTCAAATAGTATGTGGCACAAATTAAAGTCGAAGCGATTGACATCCTCTATTTTTAAGCGTGTTATTTCTAGACAATGGGATTTCTTTAAACTTGCCCAGAGTCTTTCTAATGTTAAGAAAATAACCACTGCTGCAATGCGGTATGGCATAGAGCATGAAGGAGAAACAGCAGCTAAATATTTCTCAAACCACCTGCTGAAGCTGGAACTAGCAAACTGTGGAAACTAAATACCACAGTTTACGGACTATGTGATGCACCTCGTGTCTGGTACCTTAAAGTCAAGAACAAACTTTTAAAATGTGATGCAATAATGAGTAGATATGACGAAGCAGTGTTTATGTGGTATAGACAAGAAAAGTTAAAAGGACTAATTTGCTGCCATGTGGACCATTTTTGTTTTGGGGGAACGGACGCCTTCATACATGACGTGATAGATGACATTAAGTCAAAATTCCTCATTAGTTCCGAGGATTTTGAATCCTTTAGATATGTTGGATTGGATCTTAAACAGATTGAGGGGGAGATTTGTATGCATCAAAATGAATATATTGGTGAACTTCAGTATGTAAATGTTGACAATGTGCATCTACGAAATAAAGATGAACTTCTGACACTTCAAGAAACATGTGACTTAAGGGGAGTAGCTGGCCAACTTAATTGGGCAGCAAGCCAGACTAGACCTGATATTGCATGTAATGCTTGTGAAACTAGTGTTGCTCAATAGGTGGTACTGTTCAAGACCTACTTATTGCCAACAAGAGTATTCGTAAATTGAAATCTGAAAATATTGAACTTAAATTTCCAAATCTTGGAGAGGTTTCAAAATTATGTTTAATTGGTTTTAGTGATGCCTCTTTGGCAAATTTGAAAAATTGTGGATCTCAAGGGGGTTTCATTATATTTTTGGTTGGTAGTAATGGCAAATGTGCCCCAATACTCTGGCAATCTAGAAAAATTAAACGTGTCGTGAAGAGTACCATTGCAGCTGAAACAATGGGGCTAATGGAAGCAGCAGAAGCTTGTCAACTGATTAAGATAATGCTACGCGATATCTTGCGTTAACATAGAACTTGTATCCCAATTCATTGTCTAACAGATAATAGGTCCTTGTGTGAAACTGTTTATTCTTCTAAAACACTTGTTGATAAAAGACTGAAGGTAGACATTTGTGTGCTTATGCTCAGTTCACACCAACAGCGCTTTGATGGCGCTTTAAAGCGGCGTACAAAGCGGTACCAAAGCATAACAAAGCTCGACTAAAGCGCCAGGGTCGTAATAGATCGTTGGAAAGCTTTAAGCAAAGCTGGATATTCGACAAGAGCGCAAAAAAATTTTAAACTGTTTAAAAATTTTGGGCGCTCTGTCACGAATTGATTAAAGCGCCGAGAACGTATCAAAGCTTAACAAAGCGTAACAAAGTTCAGCAAAGCTTGACTCAAAGCGTAGGAAAGCTTAACAGAGCTTTATTCAAAGCGGGGACCCCAGTTTTCACGGTCTGTCACCACTTGATCAAAAGCGGCATGAAATCGGCCATTTCGAAATTTTCCAATGCGTAACAGAGCTTAACAATGCATAACAGAGCTTGATAATCGTATCGGAGCGTGATTTAAAGCGTCATAACCCCATCAAAGCTTAATAAAGCTTATCAAAGCGTGATTTAAAGCGTAACAAGGCCTGATCAAATCGGGAAATAATTCGTCCCCAAAGCGTAACCAATTCGTATCAGAGCTTATCAGAGCGTAACATTACTTAGGGGATCGTGATAAGTAAACAAAAAATGGTGGCGCTTTGCTCGCCGATTTAAAGCGCTGCATTCGCCGTTGGTGTGAACTAGGCATTAGAGACATGAGATTCAAAATATAGCATGAGTTGAAAGTCAAGATCAATTAGCAGATTGTTTGACAAAGGCAGGAGCATCTAGCCAAAAAATTAATTGCTGCTGTAACCTCATCAAATAGGGACTGTAAATTTTGTAAAAAATCATAACATTTGAGGTGAAATATTTTTTTAATACATCTATATTTTTATACAAACTAAAACAACGAAAATATATGGTTTTATCTTAAATCAAAAACAACACAAAAAGAAAGTGTGAAGATTGCGTTTTTCTTAAATTATGTGATTATAAGTGTTGTATTTCTTTTAACTCTCATCAAGAAAGAGAAAAGACGGTGAATGTTAAGATATGAATATTAATGAGGAACATGAATATATAAATGTGACATGCGCAGTATCAAGCGACACTCAGCCATGTTGAATGTATGACACTTGTATGTAATGTATTGATGAAGTAAGATGTATATAAAGGTGTAATGAATATAACTAGTGTCTGTTTTCAATAATTACTAATACTGGAAGTAGTGTAGAGTGTAGTAGATAACAATGTCGATGTACTTAGATGATTGTGTAACTGTTTTTGAGAATATTCCAACTAATGAGCAATCATGATAATGTAGATGGTTACCTCCACCTACTTTCAATGAGAAAGGGGAATCTTGACCTTCAAAATCTCATTAACCTAATTTGATATCCAAAACGACACGATATTTCGTTTCCCAAAGATTTTGGCGATATATCCAACATGGCGGCATTATTTTCTTTTCAAACAGCATTCAAGGCTTCCGATATAAACAGTATATTCCAACATCGATAGCAATGTTTGGTTAAATTCAAGGACATTTCAAGAGAATGTTTTATATTCAAGCATTTTTCAAGGCTGTGCGAACCCTGTGTTGACAGTTGACAGGCAGACAGACAGACAAACTGAGGCAACAGCTATATATGCCCTCATTAATGTGTGGATGTATAAATACTTACATTTGTCACAGCTTCAGCAACGCCAGTCAATACAGCAGGACGGAGAGAGTGAATCAATATTTTATTTTCTAACAAGAGATATAACATCATATTCATGCAATTTTCTGGGCCAAGATTTTTCAGCAGTGAAATATAAGATGCTCCACTAAAATAACAACAATAATGATTTAAACTTTTGTTATCTGCAATTATTAACAAACAATGTGTGATTTAATAAAATTTAATAGAAGTTTGACGTCACACATGAATTGGATTTACAATACTATTAATATTATTGGCATTACCTGTTTTAAATAATATAATGATAAAGATGGAAAGAATAGGAACTCAAAAATGTTCTACTGGACTAGACGAACCTCATCATATTAAAAATATCACACATGCAAATTTGGTATTTGGATCTGAAATAATCATACTTCTAAGACTCAATGAACAAAAATCAAACCTATCCATCAATTTGATTCTAAAAAAAGAATGTTGTTCTAAGATCAATGGCAAACCTCAAAGAGTTATATAAGGGCAATAACTCAAAATAAATACTTTTCAATTCTTCTGATTTTCAATAGGGTTCTTCCTTGAGAATCCGTCAAGAATTATATCTTGTAGAGTGTTTACGAGCAACTGTGGAGAGACGGACGAGCGGACATGGGTGACGGCAATATACGCCCCCCCATTTCATGTGGGCGTATAAAAATCTGGTGTAATTTATGTAGGTCAAAAAAAAATTTGGCTGATCTTTAACAAATAAAATTCTACAGCCGATTTTAAAATAAAATCCAGACCGGAAGTGTTTCATTGGCACAATGACACATTTTTGTAAAACTCAAAATGGGGCCTCAGGGAAGAATTGGACGTATATAATTTTGATGGGTATGTAATCTGTAAACGATTGCCAACAAAATCTTGGCAGCCAATTTTTGAATTTGGCTTTTGCTTTTTTGCAACTTCCGGTTGAAGTTTTTATTAGTTTTGCAATTTTTATCTCATGACCTTGAACTTTATGAGGTCAAATGTCATTGACCCTATCATTTGATACTTTGACATTTGACTCCTGCATCTACTTCCAGTTTTATAGCTGTCTAAGAACAGCCAAATTCACAACTTTGGATTGCTCTAACACTTGACCTAATTAACCTAAAGGGTTCAGATTCTTAATGTGCTTCTCATGCTCTTTCCAGTGATATATAATAATTGTTTTTAAAGCAAAATTGAAATTCGTGATTTTTTTAAAATTTGAGCGTTTTTACTTTATTTTTGCCTCCATGAGCTTGAAATTTAGAATACAACTAGACATTTTAAATATAAATTAACCTATGACAAAAGTTGAGGCATGGTACATCCAGGTGAAATTACTAATTGTTTAAATCTTGGGCAGGGGCATAACTCACATAGGATACATTTGTTCAA